TCCTCGGGGTGGGGGGGTGGAATCCAGACGCAGCAGCGTGTCCAGCCAGCATGGCCTCATCCTGCTTCTCTCGCTGTTCCAGGGAGCAGAGAGTGACGGGCATCATCGTCTTTGTGCTGACGGGGATTTCCGTCTTCCTGGCCCCTATCCTGAAGGTAAAACGTTCCCGTTCCCCCATCCCTGCTCCCTCCCTGCAGATATTTGGGGACCTGGGAAGAAAAAGCTGGATTTCCCCGCCTCCATGGCCCCCAGCGTTGGTCCCCGTCCCCGGGAATGAGCTGCCGCCTTCCCTGGGGTAAGCGCCGTGTTTTTTCCATGTCCCCAGTACATCCCCATGCCGGTGCTGTACGGCGTCTTTCTGTACATGGGCGTTGCATCACTGAACGGCATCCAGGTAAGCGCTCCTCCTCCTCCTCCTCTTCCTCCTCCTCTTCCTCCTCAATGGCGATGAAGGGGTCCTATGCCAGGGCTAAAAGGGGGATTTTGACCTCAAAATTTGCATGCATCCAACATTTCCAGCTGCATAGGACAGTAGATATCCAAAACGCTCTGAGAAACATCGAAAAGCCCCAAATTCCCCGTTTTGGGGACTAAAAGAGGGTTTATCTGGGCAACCTGGGAGCCTGGGGAATGGGGCAAAAGGCTAACACCGGCCTTCGTCCCACCGCAGTTTTGGGACCGCTGCAAGCTCTTCCTCATGCCGGCCAAGCACCAACCCGACTACGTCTTCCTCCGGCACGTGCCGCTGCGCCGCATCCACCTCTTCACGCTGGTGCAGATCGTCTGCCTGGCCATCCTCTGGATCCTCAAATCCACCGTGGCCGCTATCATCTTCCCCGTCATGGTAAGGCCATCCCCCGGGCTGCTACTGCAGCCTCGTTTAGAAGATTTGTTTTGAGATTTAAGGAAATTTTGGCTTGGTCCCGTGGTGGTTCCCAGGTCTTGGGATGCGAGATGCTCTTGCAGATCCCGCTTTTGCATCTCTCCCCTCCTAGATTTTAGCCCTGATCCTGGTGAGACGGCTGCTGGATTTTGTCTTCTCCCAACATGACCTGGCCTGGATTGACAACATCATCCCCGAGAAGGAAAAGAAGAAGGAGGATGACAAGAAGAAGAAGAAAAAAGGCAACAAAGGAGATAGCAGCAGCGATGAGGAGGTGGGTTGGGGGGTCGGTGGGGGGCTCCCATGAACGGCAAGGGGCACCCCGGACTGTCTGGGGAGGGAAAGGTCCCACCGAAACCTCCAGGTCGGTGGCTTTGGGATGAAGATCTTTGATTCATGGAGGTGTTTCACTGCATATATAGGACCTTCGGATTGAGGGGCTTTAAGTGATGCTTAGGGGCTCGCCGGAGGCTCTGGGGGATGCTCAAAGTGTCCAGAAAGCTGGAGAATCGTGGCAAAAATGAAATCCTTAGGGAAAAGAGCCGAAATCCATGGCTGAGGGTACGGCACTCATCGTACGGTGGCAAAGCATCGTTAACCCATGCAACCCCCTGCAGCAGCCCCTTCCCCGGGCAGAAGGGCTGAGAGTTTATTTGGGAAGAGGAAGGCAAAGCCGCCTCCTCCTCCTCCTTGTGCACCCACCTCTGGAGGTTTTGGGTCCCTTTGGGGTGCTCCAGGTGGTCTCAGAACCCACCCAGGCGCTGCCTTCACCGAGTTTCCCCACTTTCTTCCCCAGTTCCCACCTCCCTCAGTCATTAAGATCCCCATGGAGCCCCTGCCATCGCAGCCCCGAAACGGGGGTCCCCATTGCCTCAGCCGTAAGTGTAAGAGCTCAGGAGCCTCTCTCGCATTCCCTACCGCTTCCTAACCCCCCCGCAACGGGATCCGCTCGGCCACCGATGGCACTAACCCCGCTAAAAGACGCAGCCTGGATCTGTCCCGCCGAAGCGGGGAGGAGAGTTTGCTGTATTTAAAGTAGGTTTGAGAGGATGCAGCGGGCTCGGTCCTGCTAATAATTTTATATTCCAGGTGGCTGGGAAGCCAGGACTCTCCTC